TACTTCAGACTATCTATGTCTATTAAAAATTTTACTTAAAACTCACAACCTTAAACGCAAACGAATTACGAAAAATTTTTTTGATAGCACGGTGTGCTAATTAAAATGCCAGTTTGAATCAAAAGCCTTTATGCAATAAAGGCATACTTCATGGAAACCGACCCCAACATTTTCAGTAATGTGTGATTTATAACGGCAAAATAACAACTTATTAATATACAAAATTTCCTTAAATACCGTTATCTTCAATTTTCAAGCAGTACTATTGGAATATGTAAAGGTGTGGTAATTAGTGTGCCAACGGTGTATATGTATAGTAATTTTGCTTTTTCGTCTCTGGTTTAGGTACAATCGTTCAATTTCAGCACACTTCCACTGAGTAGAGAAATGGTTAAGCGTTAGTAGTCATTTATAATGAGCTGCTCTTAGCAGCTTCTATGGTATCAATTTTGTTATATCTTGGAGATTTCTCGCTAGACAATTTTTCGATTTCGGTACGTATTTCCGCGGGCTTAATAAGTTTTATTGGTAAATTCAGTTGACAAGGAGTGGCAAGAAACTCTAATATTTCATTGTAACTGCCGCTGCTACCGAAAGCGGTGAACTTTGACTCGAGGTATTTACCATAAGCAATTTGCTTTCTTTTCTCTATCCTTCACCCAACGTTATTATTGTCTTTAATAGGTACATTTCTTTTCTTAGGTCGTTTTAGAGATTTTGTCGCAATCCATAGTTGAAACTCTTAATATTCAGAAATCGATTTAATTTTTTTAATCTATTTTGTGGCTTTATTTATAGTAGTTTTGTCAATTGCATTTCTATTGGTTTGCCACTTTTTTCGGATACGCCTTTTACACTGAATTAATGCCCTAATCTATGCAGACACATTAATTAAGTTATGAGGCGAGAATTCGTTCGTTATGTGGTGTAAGCAGCAAAAGCTACATCATAAATTAAGTTTGTAAAACCTTCAACTGCATAATCTAGTTCCGTTAAGATGACGGTCAGGAATTTTAAATTTTTACTCGGCCAGTAGGTAGGTTCAACGCTTAACTGGGTTTTAACATTATTCTATATAATTCATTTATAATACTCTCTACCCCATGGGTTTGGAGTAAGTGAGTCCCACCAGGAATGCACAGTCAGCATGAGCCCTGTTACCTCAATGATTAGAGACGAATTGACGATTGCGTAAAAATCGTGATGAAACTTGGTACACGTGTTCCTTGGCAAAAAACTGAGGACGAGTTCGTAGATGGGCGTAATCAGACCGCTGACGCGCCCACAAAACTCTATTAATCGAAAACTTATAAAGTGCCATAACTAAGCACTGAATTAAGATATAAAACTGTAAATTGGCACAGGATATCGTAGTAGCAAGGGTTTAATGTGCACTTATCCTAAACCATTCAAGCTTAAATAACCAAATTCGCCCAGAACAAATCCTTTAAGCTCCCCTACCGACAGTATAAAATTGAACGAAATGTGATGAAAGCCCCGCCCTCTCCTCATATGACCGCACTGTTAAATACTACTTAAATCCAATTTTGTGACTTTCCAGTATAGACTTTCCAAAACAAGCTCTATGTATAAGATATATAATTGGAATTTTGAGATATTTCTTTCCTGATAATATTATATCTGTATGTCAAAAATGGATTGAATCGAGTCAATACTTCTCTTAGCCCCCATGTATCTAATAGAAATAATTCGAATTTTGGCTGACTTTATACCGCATAAATCGGCCAATGTGGGAGTTATTTTAATGAAATTAAGAGAGCGTACTTTTCTAATAACAGTGTATCTTTGTGTCTAAAATGGATTAAATCGAATGAAAACTTGCCTTAGCCCTCATATAACTGATATTCAGGATTTTCAAACATCCAATTGACTTTACTCCTTTTATATTTTTGATGGTATGTGAGGACACCTAAATGAAACTTAGAGAGCATTTTTTCCGTTAGCAATATGCGGTAATGTCAAAAATAGATAAAAGCGGGTCAATACTACCCCTACCTCCATATGTAAATAAAATGATTTTTTGTTGTTTTTACAAACCTTGTACCGAAAATGTCGGTCAGTGTGTGAGTTATTTATAAAATTGCTTGATAATATGTTCTCGACTATACCTTTACATTATCATAGGTTAATTCAACAAACACCTGATGCGATATTTTAATGAAATTAAGTGAACAAGTTTTCTTAAAAATCATAAAATGTTCGGTTACACCCGAACTTAGCCCTTCCTTACTTCTTCTCTTTTGTAATGTTAGCCTTTGTACTTCGCTGTATGGTTTTGTAAACAATGTACACATTTGTTTTACAGTTTTTCTGTATGAGCCAATCTGAAAATTTATTCAGTTATATATGTACGTTTATGAAATGCTTTTTCCGTATGTACCCGCAGATCGTCCGAACCACAGCACGGAAAGACGTGAAAATTTGCACGGTTATTCATCCTCGATCTTTCAATCTATACTTTTATATGTACATATTAATATTTGAAAAAGTCGTGTTAGTTACAATTTTTATAACTCAAGAAAGTCTGAGCCGATTTGGCCGATTGGCAGTGAGGTAGCTTTGGAGAGGACATGTATACTTTTTATCTTTTTATGTTAAAAGTCAAAACAATTCATATATAAAAAATTAAAAAAAATTGTAGTTTTGAACAGGTAAGGAAGGGCTAAGTTCGGATGTAACCGAACATTTTATACTTTCGCAAAGTCAAATAGTATACTCGTTTGAGATTTCTTTGTGGATTGACCGATATTTTCGGTAGAAGGTCAACTATAGGCACTGGGGTCCACATATTTAGTACTTAGGGGCTTGAACCGTTTTGGTTCGATTTAGACAATTTTTGGTCACAAGGTGGCATACTTTAAACGTATTATTCACGCAAAGTTTTACCCCGATATAATCATTGTTGCTTGATATGCATAGTGGAAAGTGAAAGAATCAGATGGAATTTAAAATGGTGTTATATGGGAAGTAGGCGTGGTTGTAGTCCGATTTTGCCCATTTTCGCACTATGACATAAAACATGAAAAGAACGTTATGCACCGAATTTGGTTGAAATCGGTTAAGCAGATCTCAAGATATGGGTTTTCACCTAAAAGTGGGCTGTGCCACGCCCACTGTCTAATTTTGAACGCGGTTCCTATAAAGTCATCTCATACCATCCGAGATAAAATTTAATGTCTCTGGCGTGTTTAGTGCTTGATTTATGGCGCTTTTAGTAGTTTTTAACAGTACCGTTATATGGGGGGTGGGCGGAGTTGCCACCCGATTTCAACTATTTTCACACCGTCAATAGAAATGCTAAAAACGTTTGCTTCCAGTGAATTTTGTTATTATAGCATTAGCGGTTTAGGAGATATGCACATTAAACCTATTAGAGGCGGGACCACGCCCACTTTAAAAAAAAATGCAGATGCCCTCCCTAATGTTATCCTGCATAGTTATGGCAATTTTTTTGTTTTTCATTAATGGCGTTTTGTGGGCGTGGCAGTGGTCCGATTACGCCCATCTGCAATACCAACCGTTTCACGGTACCAAGAAACATGTCTACCAAGTTTCATAAAGATATCTCAATTTTTACTCAAGTTACAGCTTGCACGGACGGACAGACAGTCACCCGGATTTCACTTCATCTCGTCTCTTCATCCTGATCATTTATATATACATAACCCTATATCTAACTCGATTAGTTTTAGGTGATACAAACAACCGTTAGGTGAACAAAACTATTATACTCTGTAGCAACAGGTTGCGAGAGTATAAAAATTATATTTCAAAGCATAAGCATGTGTTGGAAATTCATGCAAGAATCATTTGAATATTTTATTACTACAAAGAAATAAAATAACAACACATAGGTACTGCTTGTAATGTTATTTTTTTTAACCCGATATCCCGATGTGAGAAATTGAAAAATTCATAAAGCGTTTAAAAATCAATAAAAATCATGTTGGTAAATTATTCAGTTCGAAACATACGTCAATAAATAAATGTTAATTATATCGATCATTTGCATTAATGCAATCACGTAGACGTGTTATTTTTGAATTTTTCCAGGTTAAACAATAAAGTAGAGGTGTTCTGTTCCACTATTCTTGAATAGAATTTATTCAAGTGGTGTTGTTGATTTAGCTCCTTTAAGCATTTTTTTTTTTAATAATCCCCCACAAATTTTCAATTAGTCGAGACTCTGGGCAGGCTTGTCGATAGCTTTACTCCAATTGTAGAAGACTTAGGTGTTTGTGTTTTAGGTCATTGCCCTTTTGTATTTAAGTTTACCAGCTTACCAACGCTTATAGCGGTTATTTATATTGAAAATTGTTCTCATTTTTGAGCTGATGTTTCTTTGTGATAATTAAAATATACCAGTTCAATGAAATTCTCAAAAATTCGCTTCTTTTCGATCTATGTATAGACCAAGGTAGATAATTTTTGAAAGCAAAAGAAATTATAGTGAGATGAAACCCATTGGAAACGGCAAGACAGTAAGATAATATAACAAAAACGAAAGGAAAAATAATTAACTGTGGTCGGAATGAGGAAGGAGAGGGGTGTGGTTGAATTTCTTAGGGTTAAAACGGTTTAACTTGATTTCCGGGAAAACTACTACGATAAATTTGAAAAAAATACAGTGTTTTGAGACATAAGAAGATAAGTTTACACCAAATTTCGTGAAAGAAAAATTATTTTGTACAAGACAAGATTAAAAAACTCAAATACTTGGTTATTTCAATATTTCACTTAAATTTTGAGATAATGGCCAATCATGGATTATGGTATCTTAGTTTACTGAGAACAACAACAAATATAAACAATTTCTGCAGCTTAAACCTTTATTTTGCAAAGAAGGCTATACACTTGCCTTTATTTTTTCTTCAAAACAACTTAACATTTTATTACCCATTATCAGAGTTTATGAAAATATTTACTTATTAAAAATTGAGCCTAAAATCTAATTTTCAATTTGTTGTTTTAATTGACAGTTAAACATTACGCCACGTTTCAAACAATCCTGGTTATTGTCTGATGAACAGGAAATCCCAGAAGTCACTTTTCATCATTTAAATGCTACTTAAACATCCATTATTGTAGTTGAGTAGCTCATAGTTTTAGATGACTTAAAATCACATCAGCAATTAGCTCGCGTAACTACGGTGGCATAATTAAATATTTTATTTTATTTAACTAATTTTATTGCATTAGCAACGAATTTTGAAGTGTGTAACTATTTCTGGTATGTAGTTTTTACATCCGTACAAAAGAAAAACAAAGCTCGCGCTTCACTCTTTTTAATCCAGTTGCATAATATGAAATGTTTCACCCTACTCTCAATTAGATAAACTAATAGTTTGTACATACATATGCATGTTTTACATGCTTATGTACAATTTTTATTTTTTAATTAAACATCCGCTTAAAGAACGTGTTTACACTGACGGGTATAGAAATAATATGAAGGGTTAAAATACGTTAATATTTATTAAACTTAATTTTTGTGTATAAAAATAACTTGGAAAACTCATACTGCAGTCTATTCCTTTCGCGCTCACTAAAATTAAAAGCCACCTTTATGGTAAATTACCTCAACTGAACTACAAATAATTAAATTCGCTGAGTCAACATTAGGGTTTTCTAAGCTTCTACTTTTATAATATATTTTTAGGTCTAACAATAAACTAGTGCTTATTATGAAATAAAAAGGAAAAAATTGCATTCGATTTCAGCAGCTTTTATCATTAGATATCTTTGCATTTAAAAGTAACAAAATAAATCTAAGATACATATTGATCTTTTTTGAATTTATCTTATAATACTGAGTTTGGAATATAATTATAAGGATAAGTTTTCCAGTATTTTTAAAGAAAATATATTTTATACACAATTTTAGCTTTAGAGAATACATTTCATAGCTACACCTCTGTGCGCATGCACACTTGTGGGTTATGGTTAAGTGTTATAGCATCCGTTATTTATCAGTTATTATTAGTATAACAATACTCGAATAGGTCTGCTGCTGTTGTTGAAATGAACTATTTAATAAAACTCAAAAAAAATTGTTCATAAGATTGTCTATATTAAAGGTGAAATGTTGAGTTTGGCCGATAAAAAAATTTAATAATAATATTTTGAAAGGTGTTAAAACTTTACAATCATAAATATAAACAATGTTTTGAATAAGCAACCTGTTTCGAAATTTTAACCTGCACTAGCACTTAAGGTAAGATAAATTGAATAGATAACGGTATTTCATATATATGTATATTAAAATAAAAATTATGCAACATGTTGAGCATTGCATAATAGTTTTGTTTGTAACACGTAAAACTAAACAAGATATTATATAAGGTTGCATATATTAAAATGGTCAGAATAGCGATACCAATTTATTTCGGAATATACATATGTTCATATGTCTGACCGTGTAAGTTATAATTTGTTTAAAAATTGCTGAGGATAAATTCAGTCAATTGCCACGCGTGAAAAAATATAACTTTGTAAATCATAAATTAAACAACTAAATGTTTCAATAGTGGGCGTGATGAACGTATTATCTTGCACATATTGCAGTGTAGTACTGAATAATATGTAAAATTAAACCATGAATAACGCTAGATACAAATATGATAAAAAATTATTAATACAAATATGATAATAAATTATTAATACAAATATGATAATAAATTCGTTATTCTAGTTGGCTTAATCCCGAATATCTCGATCGAAGTGTGAGTTATCTAAATAAAAGTGGGTGGAAATATTTTCTTGGGCATACCTTAGTTTATCAGATTTGTTGCTTGGTCTTCATGAAATCAGTCCATATGCGACAGAGAAAGTTCAAACAACTAGCAATTTATTATTATAGAACTGAGACTAAGTCGGGTACTCTTTTAATTGAAAACTGATTTTACTTGAAATTAGGTGATGGTTGCAGATGATAGTTGAAATTCGCATTCTGAGGAATGATACAATCACAGTATAGAATATTTGGAAAAAGTTTCATGAAATAAATACAAACGTACTGGTGATCCATTTCGAGGTTCCCTACTTTTTTAAAGAAAAAAGCACTGAAAATTCAAATTTAATGGGGAATGTTTATTATCATTTGAGTTGCTGCGAACGTCGCCGAATCGACTCTCCACGGTCTTCGTGTACACTCTTAGCTACGGGCGCTATATTTTCTTCAATCCGTGCTGGACGTGGTCTATTCGGTAGAATATTATCCAATAATGAATACTGGGTCTCAAGATGGGTGATGGTGTTGCGAATAGTACGCTCAGTAAGCCGATTATGTTGACCGTTCAACGCGCGAAGCACAGACATTACAGAACCTGAATTTTCGTAATAAAGTTGAACGGTTTGTAAACGTTAGTCTTTCCATGATGAAATGCCAAACAATACTGAACAAAAGCAACATGACAGTCAGAAAAAGGCTATTGACAAAAGTACCTCTATTTCGATTACCCGTTATATCCACATAGCAGACTTAATGATGCCTATGTTTACTTGTTCTTACACTAAAATCCCGTTATCACAAAAATTAAAATAGGAATATACATTTTTGTTTTTACATTTTAAACTTAAGAATATAAGGAAGAAATACATACAGAAAATTTGAACTGAATTACCTATTTGCATGTGTTACTTTACCTAAAAAAATGTGTTGGGTGAACGCAGACTTTATTGGCTATGTGTAAGTAGAAAACCATACCATAACGGTTTCATGCAATTTTAAAGCTTCAAACAGTTCGTCTTTCACTTTTGTTTCAAATATTTCTGGCAAACACGATTTCTTGAGTAGTCAATGATAGTAGGATCATGGGCTGAGTACTTTATTATTTATTTCCATTACGTTGCAAATAAATTTTTCAATGTTTGGCGGTGTTCATGTTCACCTCGATCTCAAGAGCATATCCAGTGGGAGCATTACAGTTTCGAAAATGTTGATTTAAAGGATCTATTATCAATGAATTGTTCTATCCTTTGATAATCTTTGCTTTGTCCAAATATCGCTCGTAAATTAAGTAAAGAAATAGAGTTCAAAATTTCAAAACGATCGGTTCAGTCACTCGCAATATAAATATGTTTCGTCATTATTATTGTCAGCTTATATTAATAATTTTTCTGCCTTTTTAGTTTTAGTTTGATGTGCGTGTTTTTTACTTTTTTAAGCTTGGATTTCCGATCGAACTCTTAATTAATTATCATTGGTGTTTATATACAGTGCGTTCAAAAAATTACGTTTTTCCTTTGCCCGATCAATTCGCGGAAAACTGCTTTTTCTGTTTTTTTTTTCAAATTAATACATGTTCAATTGCGATCACTAACGCTTACAATTCGGTCGGTTTTTTTTTTGATTATCTTAATGTTTCACGTGTGCCGTGAAATAAGAAAAATTAGTGATCAGTATAAAAAACGATTTGTATCATCTTTCTAACGAGGTATCCTAAAAATGCCAAATTAACTTTTAAAAAAACTGAAAAGTATTTAAATTCAAGTTGTAAATTTGTGAAGAAGTGGCAAGCCTGGAAGAGGGAGGAAACACGGGACATCTAAAAGTGAGGACAATAGCTTGAAGCATTCTCTAAATTCTCTCGTTTTAACTCCCAACATTGGTTCTTAAAATTTTACTTCATGGTTTTAAAAGTTATAAAACATCCCTTGGTTCTGATTGGAGAGCTTTCTGAAGAAATTGCAGAGGCAAGGATTAAAGATTAAAGATGAAAGTAAAAGGTTCCGATTACCATATACACGGAAAAATTCACGCGTCGCTTCAAATATAGATGTAATGAACATATTGTTTTAACTCTCTGATCCCTTTATTACTGGACAACGAAAACCTGTGAAACCATGTGGTTATAACACATGCTACTAAAATCAACTATAGATTTACTTAATGAGACAATATGAAAATTATATATAAAATTGTTGTTCGTTTTCTAATTATAATGTATAAATGTTCGTTTATATTTTTGTTATCACAACATTTTTGAGTACCATCAATCAATGCAAATATTCTTAAAAATGTGTATATTACTTTTGTAATGTATTATTATTAGTAAAACCACGCCCAGTTTCCCTTAAAAAAAAAAAATTAAAACAATTTATCGATCCGTTATTGACTGTTACTATGGGAGCTATAGGATATAATCGTCCGACGTGCCCAATATTTTACAATATATTTACCATATTTTTATAGATTTTTGGTAAAAATTTCAAAACCATATCTCATCTAAAAGTATTTATGACCGCGGCCCCATACAAGTGAAACCACTATACAGCGGTAAGATTTTAAACAAACTGTACTGAATATTAACACACACACTGATACTCTCTTCTTAGTGCGTGGAGTTACTAAATATTGTAAAACTACTTCAAACTGTGGTTTCAAAATCTTAAAAAAGTGGGCCTGACCCGCCCCCTAATATGGTAGGCTTAATGTACATACTTTCCAAACCACTTAAGTTAAAACAACCAAACTTGCTCAGAACCTCTTTCCAGTACCTCTTTCGAAAAAGTAAGAATGGTTCAAATCCGATTATCACTCCGCCTACTCTCCATATAAAAATTATGTTGAAAACTACTAAAAGTGCGATAACTCAAGAAATAAAAGCGTCAGAGATATGAAATTTTGCACCCGAGATGGTACAAAAAATCTATATGAGCCCAGATCTGACCTATTCGATCAATTTAAACCAAATTTGGTACATACATTTTATCTTGACATTCGTATGCTAAAATGGTCGAGATCGGACTACAACCCTGCCTACTTTTTATATATGTATGTTACATAGTTTTAAATTCCATATGATTCTTTCGCTTTCCAGTATACAAATCAGGCACAAATGAATGTATCGGGATAAAACTTTACTTGAAAATAGACCTTTCTACCTCCAATATACCCTATATAGTGATTTTCGACTTTCCCGATGATTTTAAACCGTTAGGTTGGTAAGAATGTGTGATATTTTAATGAAATTAAGTGAACAATTTTTTCTAAAAAGTTTGTGGTTAGCGCTGAATATGAATGGTCTAGAGCTTGGTCTATACCTCATATCCCTATTATAATAAATTCCCATCTTCTGTTTAATGTTTTGCACATCATCTCAATATATTAATTTTACCCTCTTCGGTTGAGTTTATGTCACCTCTCTCTCATTTGAGAATGATTGTTATATATTTTTCGCTAACGAGAAGTAAAATATAGTTATAACACTAAGTGAGTCTAGTACCAATAATATAAGTTAATAAGATACCAAATTTAATTGTAATTCATTTACAATTTCGTCAAACAATAAATGTTGATTTTTTTTTACAACATTTTTTAATATAAAGTTTAGCCAACACCTGAAGGAATTTATCGTTATATATATATAAATGATTAGGATGATGATAAATAGGGATGATAGTAACAGATAGTGCCATAAATGGTGACTGGTGAATCAGTATTAGTAGGTATTCGATAGCCATTCATAATGTGTTCTTTGATTTTCGGTGGCTTTCGGCTAGTATATCTAATTCTGTTTTTACACGGTTTTGATTTAACACGGTTTGAAAATAAAACAATTTTTAATTTTTTACATTTCAGGATGGGAGAAAATATTATATATCCGCATTCTGCCACCTTATTCGCCGCAATTTGCGCAAGTATATTTGCAATTACCGGAACATTTGGTAAGAAAAGTAACCAATAAGTGCTTATAAATATTTAACAACTGTATATTCAGAAGTAATTCATTGAGTTGCTGTTGGAATTCCGCTTTATTCAAAGTATGTTCCAAGAAGGACCAGTTAGAGTAATAAAAACTATAGTCATATTCGCTTTGTACATTTATGTTAGTATGCATGTTTATGTGTTTGAAAAGATGTGCAATTTGTGCTCTCTTGCTGTTACAGAGTCGCATTGGAAATATACTTATTTTTAACAGTTGCAATAAAAACATAATAAAAGCAACAGTTTAAATTAAAATAATCTAATCTTCAAGATTAAGCCATTTTGTTTGTTGCTGAAGCAGGCAGCAGCACAAAAACGTATAAATGTGATACAGTACTATTGACAAGTTGTCGCGTAAAATGGAGCCCTTGATAATAACAATATATTTATTATATAGAAACTTCTGATCTTAGAATAAATTTAATTAAATGATATAATTATTAAAACGTCATTTTATGATAATGAAACAAGTTCTTGCTAAAATAGCCTGTTAAGAGCGTACAACTGTCTGTATTTGATTGTTTGTTTATTCCATCTAAAAGCAACTTAAGATATTACATGGTTCATGTGGACAGCATGATTGAGCTTTCTCTAAATTGTCTAACAGAAAACATCTTATTGCGTCAAGCGATTACAATTTATAAAATGATAAAAGGTCCAGTAATTCTAGTTACAAATGCTGTCAACTTATAATAATCGTATTTTGTAGATAATCTTCTAAATACCTAACAAATAGTATGCCAATTTACTTGCTTAACTTTTAAACCTTGTACTTACAATGATAATCATGTCTGCTTAGATAAAACACGTGCCCAGTGGTAAAAAGGTGTGGGCTCTCCCTACAGGAATGTTCCTTATACTTTATACATATTATTAACTATCTTCTCACTTACTACTTCAATGTTGTTAAAAAATAAGTCAAATGTTGGTTGGATGTATAAATCAGTTCATACGTAGCCTTTCAGTCAAAAATATTTTGTCAGACTATGGTATACCGGAATATATGAATATAGGAATAGCAAGACTTGATACTTAATAAGAAGACACATTTCATTCAAGTGAGCTTTTCAAGCTTTGGCGCCAGCTTTGCAGGGCGAAAGAACTGCATACTTATTTTTACGTTGTAATGTTATATTGTAAATTAAAGCGGTAATAGCTTTGCCGGTTTTTTGATCACAATCTATAAAAGCGAGAAAACGTTCCTTCATTAGTAATATCAACGTGTAAATAAATGTTCGAATTAATCACCTATCGAAAGTTTTCTAATTTTTAACAATTTACATAATTTTTTGGATAATACGGGCCTCTTCGAGAACTTCGGGCCCGGGAAGAAGAGTCGATTTTTGGGGGATGCAAAAATATGACTAGAATTTACATGCAAGACATAAATTCAGTATGTCGGTGTCGATTCTGAAAATGCAAGAAAGAGTGTAGTAGAAGAGCAGTGTCTGGAACGAAGTTGAGCACGGTGCACTCTCACCCTAGTTAGTTAAAGTTGAATACTGTCGACGAGCTAAAGAACAATGTGAACAACAACGTGACTGCAAGGATGATTTCTGCGAAAGGACAGGACTTAGGGTGTTCTACCAGTTTATGATGAATTAGAGGATTCAATATGGCTAATTTTCTAAACTGCAGTTTTCTCAATAGAGATATTATGCGCAGGTGGTCTGATGCGAAGGTGCATAAGTCACCAGGTTTTGATATAATATATATCAGAACATCACTAGCCGTGGTAAGCTTTGGTGAGCTATTACATGTGCCTATAATTCTGGTGGGAGCTTCATCATATATTGTGCAGAATGTCGAATCGTCTATCTGTTCAGCTAGCTTTATCAAACAGGACACCTATATTTGGGTGATATCCTGTTGGATAACATCTATCTGACATTCTAGCGTAGTATCTCTGTGTCGATGAGATGATATTGCCCAATATTGTGTAGAAAGAAGGCTCGGCCTAATAGTATTAACGTTAAAACCAACACACCCAGAAAATTTGAGGGCCTGTTTATGGTATCTTGGTTTCTTGAACCGCGCTTACGGATATGCCTTTTCAGTTCATCTCGTGACAGATGGTGAATGTTGCTGCTGCAGTACCCCTGGAGGCGGTTGTCATACTGTAATGATGTTAGACGAAGCCATTAAAGGTTGTTGCACCTGATTTATGTGATGTTCCACAGAACAGACGGGTAGATTATCGAAAAAGCAACCCTTGTCCGGTTAACATCCGGGCCATGTTGGGTAACTAGAATCGACTATCGTGTTTTGTTTGATACGGATTTAGTCGTATTAAATGGACAAGATGCAACTATCGTTAGAGATTCCAGGAAATATTTGGTTTTTTCGTTGTGTACTTTTACGGCCCCTTCTCCATTAACGATGTCCGAAATTATTTTTATTCTCGCAAAATGTAGCACAGATAATCTAATAACCTTATCGAAATAGACATAGAGTTAACTATATCAAACCGGGATGACGAGATGAATTTATTTCCGGATGTTTGTTTTACCGTGCAAGTGATGAAATTGAGATGTCTTACTTTTGTAACGCGCGTTTGGTTAGTATTGTAGATGTGCAGAATGGAATTAACCTCAATCACAAATGCTGAATTGAATAAATATAAATTGGCTATAACTAAGTGGTAAATTATTTGGTACATATGATCACACCAATTAGGTTTTTTTTTAAATAGGCGTGCACCAAACCTTAATATACATCAACCAAGCTTGATGAAAATATATAGTTATGAGTAAAATTGCACAATGAGCCCCCATATACTAATTATAATTTTTTTACTTGTATTTAGGACGAACTTATTAGTAATGGGTGGTGATGTCTCTTAATTAATTTGTGTGGAAATATGTTCCAGGGCATACTTTAGTTTAATGCCAAAAGTAGATGAAATCGACACAGACTTTGGCCTCATGTCATGTTTCGACTTATAGCTTAATATGTACATATTATTTTAGACATATTGTGGCTTTATGCTAAAAATTAAAGGAATCAATTCGTATGTTGTACTGGTGACATATATACCCAACATATTCATTTCCGTCCTTCTGGTTGATTCTAAGTGATTCATTATTTCGCCTAATAACAAATTTTGAATTCATGTATTTTTTTTTGTATTTCAATATATTGCACAGCGTATTGTATTTTATTCATCTAACGGTTTTTTGTAACACCTAGAGTTAAATATAGTAAAATGATTAATATGATAATATGAATTGAATTCCAAAAAGTTAAAATCGGAGTATTGCCACGCTTATAATTTGCCGTTAATTGCAAAGAAAGGAGAAAAGAACTATGATTAGGTTTAAGATAAAACCCTCAAAACATTTGGTTTAGAAAATATTTAAAAATATGGGCGTAGGGTATAGGTATATGCATATAAGTTTTACATACAGTTATACATATGAACTAAAAGTTACAATTAATTGCTCTTAACTCTAAAACTAATGTGGTTGTTGTCATATCGCATTACTTTGTATCGTATGATATTAATCCATCATATGATACTTTTTAAATGTATGACGTGCCAACTAATCCCCTCTGAAATTCAAACGTCCTCGTTTAAATCTTTGGGTTTGTCGAAAATTTGGTTGAGTACATCTATTGCCGGTTGCGATAATTCGAGGGATTGATTTTCTGTGGGTTATTTTATTTGCTGTTTCTTTTAAGCTTCTTCGAGAAGATTTCTTCGATATTGGTTGGTGTTAGTGTTCTTTGTAAAATGTTTTTCCGTTAATTTGAATAGTTGTGTTGGTGTAAAGTGTTATGAATGTACCGTTTAGTGTTGCAGATTCGTTGTTGATAGAAATTTCGCCATTGAATTTATTTAGAAAAATTATTCCTGGTTCTTTCAGGGTTGGAATATTTTGATTGTTGACCTCCGTGCAGTATGGCAAACGACTTTTTAGAAGGTTATTGGTACTCATTACTTAAATCTACTACGTTATTATTTAAACATATTTGCAAGGAGTTATATTTTTTACAATATATTTTATTCTATATTTTGTCTTTTCGCAATTTAGAATTGTATTAAAATTAATTTTCATAATTCTTCTATTTTTTTACAGCTCTAATGTGAATTGTTTTACAAATTTGCTTATTCGCGGTTGGAAGGCTTACAATATTTAAATATATAAAAAGTAATTTTGCCATTTGTTGCACTTTTTATTTCAGGAAATTCAAGGGCAATTTCAAGGCTTTACACTTATCTTTATTTCTAATTCCAACTACTTAACACTTATTGCTCGTTATTCAAGCTTACAACTTCTTGCTTATGTCTCAATTGCTCCTAACACGACACTCTAACTAGAACTGTGTGTGATGCAGACTGTGCCCTTATATAGTAGATCTTTAACAAAACTTCATCTCTAGAACATTCTGGCTACTAAAAATTCGCTGTCTAGTTGTTTCTGGCAATTTATCGTTGATTAGATTTTGTGCTATTATCCGTGTTCGTACCTGTATTATCGCGTATGCGATATTGAAAACTTAATTTTTCTAATTTGTATTTTAACAGCAACAATGATTGTATTTCTAATATTTTTCATCTTGTATAGTTTTAATTATGTTATTTGTGATATTTTTTATTTCACTAAGTTTATCTATTGTGATTTGTTTAATTTGTACTTAGTTATTATTATTTTGCAAGATATTATTTATTTATTTTACTTGAAATTATTTCGTAGTCTTCGTGGGCTGGACTTGCTGTAATCCATTTCCATGCACTTTTAAGAAAATTTATTAACCTGTTTATTTTCTTTTCAACTTCGTTTGTGATTGTGTATTATTTTAAATGTTCCATCTTGTAGTCTACCTGTCCCCTTTTCTAATCGAATTCCGCCAGGCCAAGCGGTAGTAATAGCCTGGAAAAAAATGTCAGTACTTTTTTAATTGTGTATCCTACTTTTGTGAATTATTTGTCCTCTTTCGGTTAATATGGTACTATTTC